GATGGCGGTGGTCCCTGTCTTCATCTCCATCCCCTTCCCACATCCCCTTCCTTACACTGAGTCAAAGCCAGCAGGAGCAGCGAAGAAACGCCTGTCAGGATGGTGCTGAAGAGGAGGACGGCTCGGCGCCCAAAACGATCGACCGCCAGGCAGAGGAAGAGGAGCGCCAACGCTTCGCTCACCGCCAGCAAGAAGTAGGGGAAGTAGAACCGGGGAGCATAGGGAGCCAGGTTGCGGGTGAAGGAGTGGCGGATCCCACTCCCAATGAACCTGCAAGGTTGCAAAGGAGGACAGGGAGACCGTAAGATGCTCTGTGCTTTGAGTGTTGGAGTATGACTCTGGAGACCAGGGTTCAATTCCTCACTTGGCCATGAAACCCACTGGGTGACCTTGGGCAAGTCACACGCTCTCAGCCTGAGAGGATGACAAAGGCAACCCCCCCCCCCGAAGAAACTTGCCAAGAAAATGCCATGATAGGTATGCCTTGGTGCCGACATAAGTTGGAAAAGACTTCAAGGCACACAACAACAAAGCCAGGGAAACTACACATTGTGGTTTACAGCAGCATTCAAGACTGCAAACCAAGTTGTAGGTGATGGTGCTTTTGGGCTGGCATCCTGTTAAGTAGTTAGATACAAATGTATAAGCCAGACTTATACATTCGTAACCAAGTACAATAACATCCAAAATGGACATGACAGAGATACATTTATGGGACTCAACCAAAATGCACAAAATCCCATGTTGAAAGCTTTTGAAGCTCCACTAACTTCTTCATTTGGTGAAGATGTTAAAAATTTTACAGGAGGAAAAAAAAATATGATGATGCTAGTGCCAAGCCTGTATTTTGTCAAGATGTGGCTTTTCTCAGTTCAGGTGGTATTGGAGGGACATTCAGGCAGGTAGGCTCCTTCTCCTTTTGGCCATGGGGGTCCTCCAGGAAATAAAATTTCCATGAGCAAGAGAACTGTTCAGTATGCAAGTTTATGACTATGGCACTATGGCCATGATTGCAAATGTTCCCCCTTCCCAGCTATCTTAACAGCCAGCAGTTGCATTGAGCAATGGAGGTCTGTTCTGCTGGGAATCTGGTGCAGCAGGATGACATTTCCAGTTCCCTTGTGCAAGTGATATGTTGCCTCACAAGCAGAAACAAGACCCTTGTTGTAACTCCTTGTCCCATTACAGACCGCTGACAGGAGGGGGACTGGAAATGTCACCCGTTTGCTCCATGATCACCAGCAGCACAGACCACCATCGCTTGGTGCAGCTGCTGGCTGTTAAAGTACGGTTTGGGGAATTGGGTTAGGAAACAATATGTAGTTGTGTATTCATAATTACATCTCTGATGCAGATCTCAAACCTCATCTTTATTTATACCTGTTTCCCCCCCCCTCCCCCAAGATTTGGGTGGATTGCAAATTAAAATGATCACAAATGCTTGGGAACCAGCTTGGGAGAGAAATATGTAAGTGAAGTAGGAAGGGAGGTTGCCAACTGAGATGATTGCTCAACCGACCGTCGCCACCCCAATCCCATGCCGGGCTCTTACGCGGTGAAGCCAAGGATGAGGCTGTTCTTCCACACAACCCGAGTCCGAAAGATTTGGCAGACGCTGTGGTATTTTGGCCTGGGGACCCCTTCAAACAGGTTGTCCAGCTCTGGGGAGCGAATGGAGAGGCTGTTATCCTGAGATAAAACACACACACTTCTGCTCAACCAGAAAGGCAATTTCTGCATGGAATCCTTCCAGTAAGGTGTAGTGGTTTGAGTGTTGGATTACAACAGGATTTGGCCATGGAAACCCATTAGGTGACCTTGGGCAAGTCATATTCTCTCAGCCTCAGGGGAAGGCCATGGCAAAACTCCTCTGAGCAAATCTTGCCACAAAATCCCCAGGATAGGTTCTGCTTAGGGTTGCCAAAAGTGAGAAATGACTTGAAGGCACGCAACAATACCATTACATTCAGTGATATACTGGAATTATAAGAAGCATTAGTACAAAAAAAAAAAACATTACCAAGGAGGTCAATGTGGAATGGATGACACCATGATGGCAATGCCAGCCCTAGTGACACCACTGTCCCAGGTCAGTCGGGCAGTGAACCCACTCCAGGTTTTAGATAGCTCTACAGGCCTACTCCAAAGTGTTGAAACTTATTTTTCAGCACCGTTTTCATGCCCAGCTTCAACGTGGAAAGGACTCACTGCCCCACAGTCATGACTGCCTTCAGCTGCCACTATGGCTAGGAATGACCTTTGATCAATCCCTTCCAAGACCTCACCTGCAAACAGGTGCTCCAGAGTGTCTACATTGTCCTCCAAATGGACCCCGTTGCCCTCCGCTAAGCTGCGCAGAACCTTTTTGCCTTCCTCCAGCTGGTGAGTGGCCAAGAGCCAGCGGATGGACTCAGGAAACAGGGAAGGGCACCTGGGCACAAACAAACACAGAAAGAAAAAGAAGATCTTCTTACACGGTGGAGGCAACTGTCGGATCTGGCATCAAATGCAAAATTAACTGCTAGGTACAACTGGCCACAGATTCTGCATCCACAGATTCAACCATATACTATATATACTCATGTATAAGTCTAGAAACTTAAGTTAAAAAATGGACCCAAAACCTGAGTTGACTTATCCATGGATAAATGTAAGCACTGTACTTTAACTCTTATTTTTAAAAAGCCATTCCCTAGTGAAAGGCAAGAGCATAATCTGTCCTGTAAGCTCTGATCCTTCTCTATTCTCTCATCCATCAAGCCTTTGGAGTGAATACAAACAGTCATGCCTGCTGGAATTTTGTTAAGTTCTTTGGCATCATTTGCTTCTGCTTAACCCTTTACATCCTTTGTTACATGCACCTAAATTTTACTCCTGACTTATCCACATATCATATCAAAATCCATAATTTGATCCCAAAACCTAGCTTTGACTTATATATGAGGTCAATTTATAGTTGAGTATATACAGTATTATACATGAGATTAACTTATAGTAAAATATGTACGGTATGGAGTATATACAGTATAGTCAAGTATATATGGCATTTTTGGATATATATATACACACATTGTTGTATTCAAAAGCCTTGTTTTTGCCATTTTACATTTGGTCTTCCATATCCATGGATTTTTTTTTTCTCCATGGATTCAACCAATGTTTGGGAACACTCAAATATTTAAAGAATAATTTCAAGACTTGAATCCAAGGGACCTCTGGGTCCTAGCTGCATTTAACCATCTGCCCCTTGCCCCCCCCCCCCCCAACCTGGCATTGCATAAGTCCCTAGAAAGCCATTGAAGAGATTTTTGGGATGTTTGCAAGGGCTGCATTGAGTGTGCTTATTCCCTCCCAGCCCTTGAGCTTAAAGGGCCCCATCCTGGAGGTGCTCCAATCGAGAGGGTTTGCTCAGCGCCACTTGAGTGCACTCAGGCGGAAGCCTCCGGAAGGTGGAAGAGGTGCCCAGTGGGTAGGTAGGTGGGTAACCCAACTGTGCCAAACAGCTCACAGAATCATGGAACCACAGAGTTGGAAGAGACCCCAAGGGTCATCTAGTCCAACCCCATTCTGCCATGCAGGAAGATACAATCAAAGCACCCTCAACAGATGGCCATTCAGCCTCGGTTCAAAGACCTCCAAAGAAGGGGACTCCATGAAACTCCAAGGGAGTGTCTTCCACTGTCAAACATCTCTTATTCTCAGGACGTTCCTCCTAATGTTGAATCTCTTTTCCTGTAGTTTGAATTCATTGCTCCGGATCCTATTCTCTGGAGCAGCAGAAAACAAGTTTGCTCCATCCTCAATATGACAACCTTTCAAATATTTAAACAAGGCTACCATATCGCCTCTTAACCTTCTCTTCTCCAGGCTAAACCTACCCAGCTCCCTAGATCCCTAGTCATTTAAAAAAGTAACTGAAAACCCAAACATCAGCAAAGTAATTTCTCTTACTTTAACCCCAGCAGGCAAACGGGGAAAAACACATTTCTCTTTCTGTCTCCACATGATGTCAAAGCAATTTTCTCTTCCAGTTGTAAAAGCTTCCCTTTTGTCAAATGCATTTTTTTTCCAGCTTGGTAAAAGGGACACTTTTACGACACTTCTGCAACCTTCTTTCAGAGATTTAAAAAGTTGTTTTTTTTAAAAAAAAAGTCCAAAAGTATACTTAAGGTCAGAAACGACGATTTGAGGCGCCTAAGACAGCACCATCCTGCCAAAAAGAAATCATTCTTTAATACCTTCTCCCATACTTTTTATGACTGGAAGAGATTGAAATTGGAATGTCATTTGGAAACGGAAAGAGAAACATACTTCTCCCCATTTTCCTACCAGGTTTGTAGGTAATGAGATAAGGCTCCAGAGCGGATTAAGCCTGAAATCTCCTTGGAAGCCAAGATATTCAAATTGAGGCTGCCATACTTTGGCCACATCATGAGAAGGCACGAATCATCAGAAAAAGTAATAATTCTAGGAAAAGTTGAAGGCAGTAGAAAGGGAGGAAGACCACACACAAGATGGATGGACCCAATCGGGAAGGTCACAGGTATGAATTTGCAGGACCTGAGCAGACCAGTGGAGGATAAGGGGTCTTGGAGATGTCTCATCCATGGGGTCACCATGAGTAAGGGACGACGCAAGGGAAATGAACAACAAATGACCGACTCACCAGCAGCAGATAGCCGGGAGGGCCAGGGCCAGCGTTATCACCCCTTGAAGGAGACGCCATTCCTTGCAGGCCACGGCCAGACCTGGCAAGAGCAGCTCTCCGGCCACCCAGAAGAAACCAGCACCCATGGTGACCGTCAGGCGGTGGGAAGGATCACACAGCTCCAGCCCTGAGAAAGAAGAGGAAGACGCCCCATGAACACAGGTGGGAAATTGGGGGGAAATTGAGTTGTTGAAATACATTGGGGGGAAATGCATCACCAGCCCCCACTCTTTACGTACTGAAAGTCACTGCAGGGAACATAAAATGCAAGATGTATAACTATAATTCAAGAGCCAGAATGGCATAGTGGTTAAGTGTTGGACTAGGACACTATAGAGATCAGGGTTCGAATCCCAGCTCAGCCATGGAAACCCACCGGTCATGTACTCTCAGCGTCAGAGGATAGCAATAGCAAGTACATTTCTATACCGCAATGGCAAACCCCCTCTGAAGAAATCTTGCCAAGAAAACCCTGGGATAGATTTGCCTTATGGTCAATATAAGTAAAAAATGGCTTGGAGGCACACAACAACAACAACTTGGCTTGACATAAAAAGTATCACGTGTGATAGATTAGTAGTACAGGGTTTGTTTTTCCAACAAATAATCACAAATTCAAATTTCAAAATCCACCAAAGGGCAATATCCTTATTGGCTAACACAAAACGCTTTTGAAGCGCCACTGGCTTCTTCATCAGGCAAAAAGATGTTTTCAAAATCATACAGAAGAAAAGTGATGATAGCAGCAGAGTCACAGGCCTATGTTTTGTATCAGAAGTTGTTGTTCTTGACTCAGTCCTGGATACCAAGAAAAGTTACTGATCGACGGAGGGATACGCTGCTTTGGAGAGTAATGGACTCTCCTTCTTTGGAGTTTTTTAAACAAAGGATGGATGACCATCTGTTGGGAGGCCTTGGATGGCGTGTTCCTGCATGTCAGAATGGGGTTGGACTGGATGGCCCTTGGGTCCTCTTCCAGCTCTATGATTCTGTGTATTCTTGCTTGTCAGAATGGGGTTGGACTGTAGGACCCTTGGAGGTCTCTTCCAATTTTATGATTCTGTGCATTTCTGCATGGCAGAATGGGGTTGGACTGGATGGCCCTTGGGGTCTCTTCCAACTCTAGGATTCTACTTGATACTGCTAATGGCGCTTAAATTTTGCTCTCCTTGTCCGCACACGGCCAAGAGATCCCTCCAGAACAACTGACCCACAGGAGAAACAACATCTGATAGACAATGTAGGCCTGTGACTCTACCTACCCTCATCCCTTTCTTCTCCTTGGGGTGCTACTCACTTGCAACGTAGAGGGAGAGGAAGGCACCCGCCAGCACCGCCCCAAAGAGGAGATGCACCAGAACGAACATCACGTAATTCACGGCCAGGGAGACAGCGATGCCCAGTGGGACCGACAGTATCAGAGAGAAGAGGAAAGTGGTCCGGCGGCCCAGTCTGGGGGGATCCAGAGCAGCAGGAAGGAAGGAAAAGGAGGGTCAGCAAGGAAGATGGCAATCCCTAGGGCTATCCCTGGATGGGACCTGACTCAGGCTGCATCTGCATTGCAGAAATAACACACTTTGACCCCGCTTTAACCATCATGGCTCCATCCTATGCAATCTCAGGACTTGACATTGCTTTAACAGTCGTGGCTCCATCCTCAGGAAACTCAAGACTTCCCCCAGCCGCCATGGCCATAAAAGTAATATTTCCAAACTCTAGGTCAGTGATTCCCAAACTCCTCCGGCCTTCCAGGTGTTTGGGACTTTGGATCCCAATCCCAGGCCATTGGTCAAGATGGCTGAGGCTCCTGGGAGCTGAAGTCCAAAACACCTGGAGGACCAGAGTTTGGGAATCACTGCTCTCCAGGTGAATCACTGCAAAGTAGCCAACACTGTCAGTACAAACTACTTGGGCTGCATCTGCACTATAAAACGAATGCAGTTTGACACCGCTTTAACTGCCATGGCTCCATCCTCTGGAATCTCAGGATTTGTAGTTGATTTTAGTCCCAGAGCCAACTGGGTCACTTTCTGCTTTGCTGCATTCACCTGGCTAGTGAAAGCCATTCGGGGGTTCAAGACAAACCCCGCAAAGCATCATTTCCAGTCCAAGGAGGAAAGGACTGTCAGAAAGATATTGGACCCCCACCAAGGATTTGCAACAGTCTGCAGGGAAATATGGCTAGACACCGATGGAGGAGCAAGGCAACAAGGTGGCATTAAGGTGAGAGGCGGCTTACCTGTCGCAGGTGGAACCGAAGCCCAGGTAGCCAAGGAGCCACCCCAGGAGGAAAGTGGCTTGTTCCAATGGCACCTTCCAGTGGTCGGAGCAGACCAAGTCCCACTGCAAAGCCAGGGGTGGTTTTTTTTGGGGGGGGGAAATAGAGAAAAGGAAGGGTGTGAGATGCAGGCAGACACAAATTGGACCCCAAAATCAGGGGTGGAAATCACGCAGATCTCCAGATGTGGCTGGACTGCAACTCCCAGCAGCCCCTGCTAATATAGCTAATAGTGAGGAGTGCTGGGAGTTGGTAATCCTACTGTTACTGTTGTTAATTTTATTGTTCATTGACATATCACCTTTTCCCCAATACTGGGACTCAAAGTGTAAAGTCAGCCCTCCACATCTCTGAATTTTTTTTATCCACGGATTCCATGAATTGAAAATATTCCAAAATATATAAATTCCAAAAAGCCAACCTTGATTGTGCCTTTTTACATAAGGGACACCCATTTTTCTAAGCCATTTTATTTAGTGGGACTTGAGTATCCATGGATTTTGGTCTCCCCGGGGGTTCCTGAAACCAAGGGCCCCCAGTGTACTTATTTTTTAAAAAAATTAATCTAAATCAAACACACACACACACACATATATAAACATAATTTTAAAAGCAATCAAGCAATCTATAGAGTTAAAAATGGACAAGCCTCTGCCCTCGAGGAGCTTACAATCGAGAAAACAACATAAGCAGAAGACAGGGAAGAAAATACACCGGTCCCTCCACATTTGCTGGGATTTGGGGTGAAGGACCCCCATGAATATGCGGAAACCGAAAATTAAAATCACTATTCTTTTTACCTAAGAGAATGCCTCTCTAGGAATCTCCATGTCCTCCAGTGCAACTCTATGGTCAACATCTGCTGGAATTTGACCATAGACTCATGCTGGAGGACCTACAAATGCCTAGAGAAGTGTTTTCTCTAAGGAACTTCTAGGTTCTCCAGCCCAACTCTATGGTCAACTTCCAACAGAACTGCGCTGGAGGATTTGGAGATTCCTAGAGGGAACACATTAATCAAACCCGCAAATAATCAAAAATCCGCAAAAGTCAAAGCCGCAAATGCGGAGGACCAACTATATAAGTGTGTAAACAAGGGAAAATGAATCAGTGATGAAGTGATACTTAGGATCTGTTGCAACTGGGCACAAAATGTGCCAAGTGGAGCCCTTGCTAGATCTTGCTGGACTGCAACTCCCAGCAGCCTTCAGTCAGCATAGTCAGTAGTGAAGACTGCTGGAGTGGCAATCCAGAGACACAACACAGAGATTAACAAGTAAATCACTTTCTCTCAATCAAGGCTCACACAGGTATATATATATATATATATATATATATATATATATATATATATATATATATATACACCCAACACACCTCCATGCCAGCATTCTCTGAGGATGCCAGCCACAGCTGCTGGCAAAACGTCAGGGATCAATTCTTCCGGAACGCAGCCCCATAACCCGAAAAACCCACAAAAAACGACGGATGCCACCCGTGAAAGCCTTCGACTTCCCAAATCCAGAGACCCTTGGAGGGCCTGGCATTTGCCCCCCTTCCCCAAAATGGAGCCCACTTAGTCAGTCACCTGCCGCATCCCAAGAGAGGGATGGGTGAGGCGTACCTGCCCAGGTGTGAGAGAACTGGACTAAGGACTAGGATCCAGGAGGCCAGAGGGTCCAAACCCTGGCTTGACCATGCAAACCCAGTGAGTGACCTTGGACAAGTCACACCCTCTCAGCCTCAGGGGAAGGCAATGGCTGCCTTAGGGCTGCCATAGGGCTGCCATACGTTGGAAATGACTTGAAGGCACACAACAACAACCACAACCACAACCACAGATTTCCGTTTGGGGAGGGGTGCTGCCCTCTCTCTGCCCATGCTCAGAGGCACTGACCTGGGGGTCCCCTGCTGGCCAGAGTCCGTCCTGGGGGCAAGGCAGGGCGGCGTCGGCGTCGGCGTGTCCTCGGGCGGAGGCGTTGCGGGGGTGGGCGCCGGGCTCCTGGGGCCAAGGCAGGGCCAGGGCCAGGGCCAAGGGCAGGGCCAGGGGCAGGTTGGGCAGCCCCCAGGAAAGGGCCAGCAGCCCCGAGCGGCGCCCCAAAGAGGGACCCCAGAGGAAGCCCCAGAGAGACCCCAAGGCCATGGAAGGAAGGAAGGAAGGAAGGAAGGAAGGAAGGAAGGAAGGA